AGGAACACTAATGAAGTTCATTACAATAATGAGTTAACATTAAAATACATTGACTGTCATTATTAAAAGAAAATGAAGTCTCTATTATTCTAGTATAATATTAACACAATATACAGGGTGTCCTAGAAATTTTATGAACTTCATTACAATATTCATTAAGTCGGGTGTCTTTGTGCCCCCATTAGTGAAATTATAATAGACCATTTTTCTATTCTAATTTCCATTTTTTTAATTCCCAATCAGCATGAAGACCTAAAATAATTTAATTATTAATTGAAATAGATATTTTTTCTAGAAATCTATAAATCAAAAAAAAAGTTTTTTATCTTTAAAAATTACCTGACATGATTAACAATTTGATCGGTTCTTCGATATTCCAAATCTTCAAATCCTTCAACATGATCTCCAGTAACTGGTTGCAAATGTGGCTGGACACTCATTTCATCAAATGTTAAGCAACAGTATATAGCCAAAAAATCATTTGAGCCCTTTAATTCGGCTTTTAATACCGAAAATATTTGTTCACGTACCCCTGTCTTAATGGGGATCCTGTTTAGCAAGCGAGTGAGCGTATTTCTTGAAGGTAATGCTAATAATGATGATAGAAATTTGTATCCTGATCTACTTTGTTTTAACAATGATAATCCTAAAACTTTGTCTTCTACAGTAAATCTCCGGCCCCTAGGATTTTTTACAAGATTTTCATTTTGGCATTTAAAAAATCTCTCTTATATAGTCCAAATTGGACTCATTCCCTTTATTATTGAACAAACTCCTACTTTTTCCTAAGGCCCTCATTCTTTGTTTTTTTAATTTTAAAAGGGTCCCATAAAAATGTTTTGCTTTAGGTGTTAAATCTTTTGCCGATGTAACATGAACTTCATCCAACAGTGAAGATCTTTCTAAATTTTATACACATTAGTTTCTGAATTACCTACAAGTTTTATAATAATTACTTTTTGGAGTTATATATAGTATATCTTGTATCACTGTTCGTAGGAATATTCTCATTTGAATTTATAACTTCATTATCCTGAATTGTTGATGTACGTGGTGTAATTTTATCACATTCTTCTGACTGTTTTCTGACTTCTGAATATCGGTGTTTAATGGTTCTAAAAACAGTATAATATCAGTATAATAATGTATGATCGAAAAAAACGGCGTCCAGTTGGCTTGGAAATGAACATCTATGACATTCCTCATATAATTTTACATAGGGTAACGGATATAGTTATTGGCCACTTAAGGATTTTAGTGACGTATTTTTCAGTTTGTTCTAAAATTATTAGACCACGAATAATGCAGTATTTTTTTCTCAAATAATCACATATTCAAACATTAGGAACAAAATTTTATTTTGCAACTTTAATCCTCTAAATAATATAAAAATACAGTTTTTTGAAAACATACAAAAAGTTCAGTTATTGGCCACAAAGTTACAGTCGTTGGCCTACCCATATATGAGTAATTGGCCATTACAAAAACAGAGTTTAGCCGAACAAAATTAGATATGTTTTTCTAAAAACGAGCGCAAAGTTACTACTTTACACACTTATTTGCATGTACAAAGTTACTTTGCGCACGCTTTTGTACATTATCGTAAAAAATCCTAAATAATTTATTGGGAAAATATTTTATTGCAACAGCATCAAACAAAACGTTTTTGAAAATGGGAGATTTAGTACTTAATACCTAATTGTGGAAAGTATGCAAAGTGTCTTTCCCACACTCAAAGCTTACTACTGCTTTTGCCTACGGGAAAGTATCACTTCGCACACTTGTTAAGAAAAACTATTTTTAGCTTTACAGCTATTGCACACAAACTTTTCATTATTTTCTGATTGTTGAGATTTGTCAATACAAGCAAGATGATAGGTTTTTGTACAAAAATTGCATTTTTTTCCTGATTTTAAAACCGTGATATTCATAATACATGCATAGCATAACCCAGTGGAAACTTCGTTCGCATGCTTGCTACTTGCTTTTATAGTAACATCAGAAATAATAAACACCTTGGAGTTAGGAGTCTCATTTTCTTTTTCTGAAAATAGCTTTCGTTTAGTTGAATTTGGCAAATTTCTAGTCAATGATGAATGGCTTGACGATGGCAGCTGAAAACTATTTTCAAAAAAAATGTTTTTCGACCCTGAAAACCTTTCATTTTTCAAGGTAGATCTAGTATCAGGTGAATCAATAACACTTGTAGAAGTATTTGTACAGCTTCTGAAATCATTTAAATGATCTTCATTTTCCGGTTTTTGGGTTGAATATTTTTCAGCATCTCTAACGTTTGGTTTGGTTTGGTTTGGTTTGGTTTGGAAAATACGTTTGGCACTAGAAAAAATGTCCCCACTAAATGGACAATTCGTGGATTCCATGTTAGGCGCTTTGATTTCTTGAATGCACTTTTTCTCCGGCAGATGCACTTTAAGTCCTCTTTTTAAAATTATACTATTTATTTCATCAACTTTTGGAATTATTTTTGTTTCTGCGTCTTCCCTATGATATTTTATTTCTTTAGCTTTAGGTATATTTGTTTTTGTTTTATTATTTTTATGTGCAATTTTATTGTTTTTTGTTTCTATTCTTTTCTGTTTCCTTTCTTCTTTCAATAATTCTTTCTCTATTTTTTCCTGTATTTTACGTTTTTCTGCGTTCTGCCGATCTGAGGAAGTAAGCACAAACGGAAGTCTTTCAGTTTGTTTTTTACCTTTACGTTCTGGGGTCCTCGGCCAATAGAAGAACTTGTCAATAGAGGATTTCTCTCTCTCTTCGGTGTGCCTATTTACGAATTCCTTTTGTCCAGAATTTGGCCCATCAAGTGATTCTATTTGCGTTGGAGATGAATAGTTATAGGAAGTGGAGGGAAAATTAGGTGGTGAACTAATGTTTATAATAGGAATGTCTTCTATGTTATATGTGGTTAACTCAAAATCTGAAGAAGTTTTACGGTTGCATGAAGAAAGCCTAGGAGATGATATATTAGTATTGTCCGTCACGAGATGTTCTATTTCGAATGTAGTTAACCGTTCTAAAGTATTTGGGTTATCAGATGAAGAAGGAATATTATCAGCATGATCATTATTCTCCTTTTTGGCAAAGGGAATATATTCTTCATCCTACGTCAGATCATCTGACTTAGTATGAACTGAATTAGATATTGCATCATTTGGCTTATTTTTGAATAACTGGAATATATTATATAAAATTTGTGCTTCTTCATTTAGATCTTCACATGCATTATTTTGGAACATCTTTATTTTCTCAGTCCCAACTAATTTCTCAAAGTCAGCATAGGTTATGGATACTTCTTGAGAAACACTTTCTTTAATTCGGCTGTTGTTCTTTCCCAAACATTTGGAATAATCAATTGCTGACGGGTTCCAAGGATATAACCCAGTTGTTTTAAAACCATTGATTATAGAAACTGACTTTAAAGAGCTAATGGCACTGTTTAATACTAAAGCAAAGTTTTCCTTGGTTACCACAGAATTTGGATTTTCCCTTCTGAAGTTCAAAACTGCTTTGTTCCAACCAATTTTTAAGGGTTTGAACGCCGCAACGTCTGCGGGCTGCATTATTCTTGTGGCGTTTGGGTAGAGAGCCACTAATATTATTTTCAACTTTGAACATAATTCGCTAGTTTGAAGGGTCATATGAGTTTTATGCCCATCAACGAACAAAATTATAGGAAATTTGATATTTTTAGCAACTAAATGTTTATAATAAACGTTTCCTATATATTCAAAAAAAATTCATTTTTCATCCACCCTGAGTTGCTACAACCTATTCCCCACTCAGCGGGTACCGACTTTACAACGCTTGATGGTAATCTCTTATACGGATAAATTACCATTGGCGGTGTAATGTCGCAAGATGCAGCAAACGTAAACATTACTGTTAAATTAACTTTCGAGTGATGTTCAATTTCGTAAACATTTTTGCTTCCCCTCACAGCTAACACTCTTATTTTTCGGACATAGGTAAAAACACGTTTCATCGCCATTAAAAATACGTGATGGATCTTTAAGAATGTCACTGTAACCTTTTTGATCTAAGTATTGTTCTACACCACTAAACCATTTCCGAATATCTTTTTCGGAAATATTAGAACTTGCCGCAGTAATCGCTTCTGGAGTCCTTAGCGTTATTTCTGGATTTCTCTTTAAAAAGCTCCTGTACCACCCTTTCCCAGGCATATTGTCTATGAATGGATTCTCACGGGGATAAGCATCCAAAAATCCCTTGACTGAATGCTGTACATCTTCTATCCTCAGAGGAAAACCTTTTTTCTGACATGCACAAATCCAGTCTTTAAGTCGAGTTTCCTCGTCCAACGAAAGAATAGGATTTGGACCACGAGTTGTTTTATCATGAAAATTTTCACTCGCCCTAAACTGTAGGGTAGCTCTTGGAACCTTAAATTGCAGGGCTGCTTTCCTCTGACTCGTCCCATTGTTAATTGATGTAAGGGCTTTCTGTACATCATCTTCCGTGTATTTTTGACTAGGCGTTTTAGTTTTACTTGCAGGAGACATTATGAATCTAAAAAAAACGACTTACAACCTTGTGGATAAAAGAAAAAACGCAAAGGGCTCTAAAAAACCATATAGGTCTAGTAGTTGGCCACCCTAAAATCTAGTTATTGGCTACCGGCCAACTACTGGTTAAAAATTTGAAAATACATAGAAAACTCTATAAAATGTTTAATTGCCGCTCAAAAATGCTAAAGGACATAAAATTTCCTAAAAATATTATCCTACACTTGGCACTAGTAGTTGGCCATGGCGGCCAGTAACTATATAGGGGACAAATTATTGTACCAGATGCTGGCCACCACGAAAATGCCGCGAAAAATTCTAACCTAGCATTAAAAACACCCTAAAAGGTGTGAAATAATACAATAAGATGCCTTAAAATATAATTTTGAAACGATACAATAAGAAAGTAAAGCATAGCCACTTACCATAATACCACAGATTCTTAAGGAATTCTTAGGGCCGATTTCATAATCATTCACTTAAAGCGACCTTAGCTAAATGGGACTTTAGGATAAAAGTGACTTTAAAATTTGTTCAGTTTCATAACCTGAAGTAAAGCGACTTTAGCTAAAGGCGACTTTAACCATACTTTAACGTTAAAAATTCATGTTGGTAACACCGATTCCTAGTTAATAGTTCAAATGAGTATGAAATTGTATGTTATTTGATCTATGGTTATACCACAGATGCTGAGTTATCTGCTGTTACAGATTTTTATTTCTCTGTCCACGTGTTCACCACGAGATCATTTCATTTTATTCTTGGTGTTTGGCGTGTGTTGACGTGTTTGTTTACTGTAATATCGTTTTTATTTTATATTTCCTAGTTGTTTCTAATATTTTGTATAGAGATGTCTGAAAGGTAAGTTAATAAATAATGTAATGGCCAAAACAGGTATTTATATTATTTTTATTTTAGTCTTTTTAAAACTCCGAAAAGAAGCCGGGGTGCTAATTTTACCAAGGAGGAGGAATTGATACTATTAGAAGAAGTAGCAAAATATTGGAACATTATAGAATGCAAAACTACAAACAAAATAAACAAAAAGGAGAAGGTATGACTACAGATATTTGTTATATAAAGATATATGTATATATAAATTTATTTATTTTTTATGAAGTTTGGTGGTCGAATAACACAATTAAACTGGATTATTTATTTTATTTTAGGACTATGTTTGGGACAAAATATTAGCTTCCTATAGTCAAAGAGTAGGAGTAGTAACAAAAAAAGTTGAGCAGCTGCAGGGGAAGTACGACAACTTAAAAACGAAAGCAAAAAAAGTTGTTGCTGAATCTAAAAAGAATATTTTGGGTACTGGCGGTGGTCCATCAAATAATGATCACATAGATCCAGTCATACAAGCAGTTTTGAATATTTTAAATTCTAAGTTAGTGGCTGGACTTAAACCACAACATGATTGTGATACTGATGTGGTAAGAACAATATTAGTTGCTCTTGACTTTTTTAAATATAATTATTTTAGGTTTGTGTAAGTGAGTCACAACCATCGACCCCCAGTGAGCCACAACCATCGACCCCCAGTGAGCCACAACCATCAACCTCCAGTGGGCCACAGCCATCGACCCCCTGTGAGCCACAATCATCGACCTCCAGTGGACCACAACCATCGACCTCCAGGGATCAACAGTCATTGACTGGATTCACTATTATTCCCGTTTCGCCACCATACATTGTAAGTAATTAGATCTTTCGAATCAGTTTGTTAAGGTTGTCCCTTATTTTTATCTTCTTTTAAATGGGAACCTGGTTAACTATGACATTTTTTTTACAGATTCAGCTCGACCAGAAAGAAAAGGAAGGAAGTACTGACAATCCTGAAACACCAAATACAAATTTGCCAGTGGTAGAAAAACAATTAGAAAGTGAATGTAAAAGGGTAATTGTAATAATATATTATTTTAAAGTGTTATTAAATGAAAAAAAAATCTTATAGTACCTATCTAAAGGCGCGCTCTCACGACTCATGTACTTGGCAAGTATTTTTTATTGGCATACAGTCTGTATAGATGTCCGATGCATCCTGTATACCAATTACAAATGTTTGTCAAGTACATGAATCGTGAGAATCTGCCTTAATATTCTTTTCTATTATAGAAAACCGAAGACTGGAGCAATTATACTCCTACAAAATTGAAAAAAAAACTGCTAAGCAGCTGAGACCTACAGTATCGAATCCTCTGCATACAGTTAAATTAGAATATTACAGGGTGAAAACTGAATTAATGGAGAAGAGTATGGGATTGCAACAGTTGGAATACGAAAAAAAACAACAGAGAGAAGACCAGGAACATATGAAAAAAATGATATTACTCGATTTGGAAATCGAACTAAAAAAAAAGGAATTGTCAAAATAACGTGTTTTTCGTATTAATTTTAGGTATAGTTAAAGTTTATAATTTTAATTGTTTTTTTTAGTTTGCATTTTGATTAAAATAAATTACATATAAACAAATAAATAAATTTTTATTTAGCTAAAAAGGTATTTCAAACAATTATATTACAAGTTCGATAGTTACAAAAGTCCAGCAAAGTGTTGGTTTATTAGTACTTGTCTAAATTGTCTACCAAAATTAATATTTTCATTTGGCAATTCCAAAATGCCATCTCCCTCTTCAGCATTTTCTCCCTCTTCAGCATCTTCTAGCCATTCCCCTGGGATGTCTTCAGACATGTCGAGGGCAATATTGTGCAATACAGCCGTAGCAACAATAATATCCATTGCAGTTTCCAACTTTACCCGCATCCCATTCTTTAAAATTGGAAACCGCCTCTTCCACACACCATACTGACGCTCGACAACATTTCTGGTTCGTATTATGGATTCATTGTATAAATTTTCAGCATCGGTATTGGTCTCCAACAGTTTTGTCATTAGATATTTTTTTAATGCATATCCACTATCTCCAACTAAAATATACCTTCCGTACCTGCCTGTTTCAAATTCTCTTTTGACTTGACTATTATTAAAAATAGTTTGGTCGTGTACAGATCCTGGCCACCTTGCAACAATGTTTCGGATTTTTAATTTAGCATCACTAATAGTCTGAACATTTAATGCAAAAAAACCCTTTCTGCACCTGAAGATTTCTGCATCTTCTCCTCCAGGCGAATCAATTTTTATCAGAGTGCAGTCTATTGCTCCTATTGCTCTTGGAAACGACGCTAAGCCATAAAAATCTTCTGATGCTCTTTGCATTTCGGCATTATCGGAATACATCTTCACATATCTAGGCCTTAGAGCTGCTAATGCTGTTGTTACCCTTGATATAACACGACATGCCGTAGCCCTCGATACACCGATAAAATCAGCAGCAGTAATCTGCATACACCCAGTGGCAAAAAATCTTAATGTTAGCAATAATTGTAGCAAGGGTGGGACACATCCTCCTCTGAAATTGACATTGAATTAATACCAATTAATACTACCTGTTATATTATACAAACCTATTTGTAGGTAAACGGATTTGCGGTTCAATCTCTCCTAGTACTTGCATTACTGTAGGTTTCGTCAAACGAAATCTACAGAAAAAATCCAAATCATCGTATAGTTCGTAATAATTTTGACGATCTCGGTATATTTTTCTTCTCCGAACAAAAACTAATTCTTCTTCTGATGAACTCGAACTTGATGAAGTATCCGTATCCATTAAATTCATTTTATAATCAAATAAAAAACAACGAAGTTTTTACAAAACGCACAAATGACAAAACGTGGCTGAACCAAAACTAAAGATTAAACTGAATTGAGGTTAGGTTATCACTTTAAAGAAGCTTTAAAGTCAACTTTAGCGTCTGAAAGTGGATAACCTGGCGGTTTAAATTTAAAGTGCCTTTAGCACTAAAGGAGGTTTAAAAATGAATTATGAAATCCATATTAGAAGTTAAAGGAGCTTTAGTAGTTAAAGTTAACTTTAAATTGATTATGAAATCGGCCCTTAGTATATCTGGATAAACCGATGCAACTTCGGACGAACAAAATTACACCTGCTACAAATTTTCTGTGACGCTAACTAGAAGTGTCATAACCGGTACGAACATAAAGCAAGGTTGCCTGATTTTACTTCAAATAATGGCACTTTGGTTTTACCGCCAGGACTCTTATTATTTCAAATTAAATTCAAATTGGCCAATAACTATTACCTGGCCAATGACTGTATCCGTTACCCTATAAAATGACAGCGATCTTCGTTTCATGGGCATCACTGACGCCGTTTTTATTGATTATATTGTATTGTATGATCGAAAAAAAATCGGCTTCAGCGATGGCGATGAAATAATGAAAATCGATGTCATTTTATATGTAAAATTATATGGGGAATGTCATTATGTTTATTTCCAAGCCAACTAGACGCCGTTTTTTCGATTTCATATTGTATATCAAATATTGTTTCATACCTATACCTACCTGGCAAATTTACTGTAGGGAATGTCTTATATTTTAAACGACCATTAAAACCATAATCTTCCGTTGTAAAATGCCTACTGCAGATGCGGTAAGTCTTAATTTTTTTTTCTGGCGGTATATTATCTACTATAAATTTCTTGTTTCCGCTTCGTATCACCCAAATAACAAATTCCGGCCAACTACTTTCTGGATTCGGGAAATTATGATTTTCCGGTCCATTCTTAAAGCACGTTGGAATGCAGCAAACTGACGGCATGGTGATTTTTTTTTCACGCAAAACAAAAGAAATAAAAACACAACGGTGGTAAATCGTTTATTAAACACTTAATAAACCGAACTACAAATGATGAATTTAAAAAAACAAACTCCAAGGTTTTCGAAAAATACACTTCGCACCCTTATTACTAAAGAGGCATAATCCCAAAAATACAGTTTTCTTATAAATGACAAAAAGTGTTGGTCTAATGGTAAAAGATTAACATAAATGTTATTTTTATGAAAAGCATTTGTGTGATATGTCGAAGCAATTGTTTTTATGATTGTTAATATAGTCGAGATAAGAGGTAGTTAAAGTTTTTCGCAATTAAAGTGATATCGAGGATTTTATGGCTTTGAGAATTAGTTAAAATCAGTTGCGCCCCTTTAGTTCTAAATTTTTTGAAAATAAACAAAAACGTTTTAGAAATGTGCCTGTTTTTTTTGTTCAATTTTAGACTTTTATTGCGATGTTTATTTTGAGATGATACTTTTTATTAGTAAAAACTATGATTTTGTTATTATAACATTTATGATTGTGCCTCTGTAGATATAAATTCTAAAATGATTCTGGGTACTATAATACTATAGCAATTTTAAGGGAAACAACAGTATACACAAAAATAAAATTTTAATCATTTCATCAGTAGGTATAAAAATTATATTTTTATAAATCCGGTAACGCCTTATGCTACTCGTTAACTATAAACTTTGAAAAAATAAAATTTATTTCTTATTCTACTCGTAAAACTTTGGTATAACAATAGGAACCCTTATAAATAAACCAGTCTTATTACAACTTTAGTATGATTTAAAAAAACACTAAATTTTACAAAATCGAGTTAAAAAAATCGGAATAAAAACTAGGTATTAGGTTTTTTGAAACGAGATCTCTTAAGTCTTTCTTCTTATTTTCACCAAGTTCTAGTTTTGTTGGATAAACCAGCCCCAACTGTAACTTTTCGATGGCTTTCATTTTTCTCCTTTGAGATCTCCCAACTACTTCAGTGTAATCATCAGAATAAGATGTTCTATAAAAAAAGCTGTATGGCTTGTCTTTAATAAATTTAAGACTTTTTATTTTATTCCAAGATAAAACATTTTCTCGGACATCTTCCCTAAAATTACATCCCAGATCCTCTTGAAGTTTTTTAATATCAAGGAAACATTCGTGTGAGAGTTCGTGAACATTGAAAGACGGCTTGGATTTTTTTGCGTTTTTTATTATAGTGACGTATTGATGGGGAGTGTATATGGGACCGGATTTTAGGTTCCTCTTTTACTTTTTTCTATTAAAGAATGAACATTGTCCCCTTCATTCTGGGTGTGGCCTTTGATTAAAAATTTATGTGTCAAGCTTTTTATGTTGTAACGATTGATAGCATATAAATAAAGACTTGCAATAAATTTATTTTTATTCTGGCCACAGCAGTTGTCAGAATAGAATGTAATGTCTAATCCGGTCTCGTGTAAATGTGGATTACAGCTAAATATTGTGTCAAAATATTTCAGAATGCATGTGCCTATTTCAATAGCGCCACGTTTACCTTCTGTTTCTGTTCCAATAAAAAACAATGGACATCTTTGTAGGCATGATGTTTTTAGCATTATCTTCTATTTTTTCTAATTCTACTAGAGTTAGGTTATAGCTATTTAGCTTGGATTTGTAATAAAAAGCGGAAGTATCACCCCTTGGACACTGTAGGACCGCTTGGAGATCGTAAACCACTACTTTTTATTGTCTGATATTTCAGAACGATCTTGTTTCTTTTCTGTGCGGCTCAAATCTTTCTCTTGTAAATGGTTTCTATATTCTTTTTCCAAATTTTCTTTGGATGTTCCTGTGCATTAAGATAGGATAGGCATTGGTCGCACTGATCCTTTTTGGGTTGATGAAACCCGATATTGAAGTCCCTTGTAAAAATATTATAATAAATCCAATATTTTCCAGCGCTTTTCTTCTTTGATTTCTGATCTTCTTCAAAGTCTTTGTAGAGTTGAGTAACAGTTTTACTGCCATCTATGTATTCACGTTCAGTAGTCGATCGCACGTAGTGTGAATCGATTCTCGGAATTGAATTGATGTGATTTTTGATATCCTCCTTAAGAAGTGGATCAATTTGTAGGTGATGATTGTGTTTTCCCCGATTATCATCTTGTAGAAATCCATTTTCACCCATCTTAATCCTTACAGTGCGAATCATCTTGTCCGATATGTCCAAGGTATTTTTGTAAAATGTTTTGCAAACTCGTATTGGCAAACCATTTACTGTGAAGTAAAAAGCCTGGTTGGCATTTCTAGGTCTTTCGGCATTCGTGTATTTGTATCGGGGAACTATATTTTTCATACATGACCCAACAAATGCACGTTGCTTATTAATATCCCCAAGTTTCCAGAAACTATTAAATATCGCTGTTCGATTTTCCGTATCGATATTATCACCACATTTTAATCGACATTTTTCAGGACAAGGTGATTTCATTGTTCTTTCTGGAATTTGTTTCTTGGACTTGGATACTGATTTGTAAGCTTTCCCACTGTTTCGAAGTTTTTTGGCCTTAATTTGCTTCCATTTTTCGGGATTTCTAGAACGTTTCCTCCCCTTGTGAATATTCTCTTGAAGATTTTCTTCATCTGTAGACGACTCTGAAGAATTATCGGAAGATGAATTCGAAGACAAACTATTTTCAGGCACTGGGAAGTTTGTTGATAGTATATCATTCAGAAAAGAATACCTAATTTGATAGTTTTCCTGTGAATAAGTCGGATCAGAATCGGTGTGGTCAACATCACTTTCATTTGAGTGAATCGGAGAAATGCGGTATTTTTTGTTTGTTACATCCGTACAGCATTTTCGTTTTATCTGTAATTTAGTGGGACACTCTTTATCTAGTTCAACAGTAAATGATTCAGTAGCCTGAAACACGAACAAAACGTGAAGATTTTAAATATTTTTGTAAAATGTTTTCAGCTTACTTCGACATTCGAACGTTGAATCAAATTATTTTCATTGGTCAAAGTTGAGTAATCTGATTTTTCTTTCGGGCGACCTTGATCTACTTCAACAGAATTATTGAAAGACTAAAACAAAAAGAATCAACTTTTTGGAGAACTTTTTGTTATAATGGTTGAAACTTACTATATCCAAATCTTTTGTTAAATTTGGTTCGTTAACATCCAAACTGAGATGTTCTGGTTTTTCTTGAACGCATTCTCTATCTACAGAACTATTTTTGCCCTAAAACAAGCATCATTAATTTACAAAATTGCAATTTTTGAATGTCGTGATAACACTTACCAGCTCCAAATCTTCGTTAGTATCTTCAATAGATTGATTTGAGATGAAATTCTCAGTGAATTCTTCTTTACTACACTCTTCTGTCTCAATAAATTCGTATGAAGTCTAAAGAATAATAACAAATATTTAAAACGCCTTTTAAAAAATACATACATAATATATTCTAAATTTACCATAATCGAGTTTATAGTATTATCCTGTTCGATGCCCTGATCTAAAAAAATACGATTTTCCGGTTCGGTTTGAAATTCTAAAGGTAGGGTTTCCTAAAAGAAAAAAATCCAATTAAAAATTTAAAATGGCGCGGCATAATAAGGGTAAACGCATATAAAAACAAAAAATCCAGTGCTTACCTTGTGTAAGGTAGATCTTGCTACACCTACCATTCTGCGAGCTCTTTCAGACATCACCGACGATTTTCTAAGGAAAAAGAAATATCACAACCTAATATTTAGTTCTAGATGGGCCTAACTCGAAATGCTAAGAAGTATACATTTTCATAATTTAAATCAAAAGAGCACTAAGACCTAATGCGCTTTTCAAAATTGACAAAGTCTAAACAAAGTCAGTAAAAAAAAGGCACATTTCGAGATAATCATATAAATGTACTTATAATTTCAGTAATAAAAGGGCATTAACCTAAATACCTCTTTATAATTGCACCACTTTTAAATATAAAAAAGCACTAACTAAAAATAGGCCCCTATCACACTAAAAATTAAATGATTATTTACCTGACAAAGACACAATCACAAACACGCCGACAAGAAACACAACCTGTTCACTATAGTGTTGGCATGATACTGAATGGTGGCCGTTTAGTTCTAAAAAAGCGCGCGTCATCCATCAGTACTAAAAAGGCTGATATAGGTTTCTACACTTAAAAAAGTACGTTTTATGCGTAAGTCGGTTAGCAACCGATAGAGGGCAGTATTTTAGGCCCCTTTATGAATAAAACTGAAAAACCGTA